TTTTTTTTTTTTTTGTTTTTGCAGCACTAATGGCTTTTTTTTTTTTTTTGACAGTAGGCTGACAGCAAAGGGGGTATGAGAAAAGGGTAGAGACATGCGGGAAAGGCCCACAGGCCAGATTCGAACCCGGGTCGCCCAAGGTCTAAGTCCCCTGTACATGGGTCATGCATGCTAACCACTGCACCACCTGCATGCTGGGACAAGATTGTCCTAAACTACCTCCAGAATAATTAGTGAAACTGATTAGTGAAACTGATTAGTGAAACTTCAATAAAGACAGATTCTAACACTTTTTTAGTGTCCATGTCACACTGGAAGTGATCTGGCTCGAAAACTACAACACAATTAAAACTACAACACTGCAACTAGTCACATCAAATCTGGAATAGATTATTCAAAATTAGTTGTGTGTTTCCTAAAAGGGGATACCTAGTTGATAGTTGCCTTTTGTATCTCTGCTTCTGTCTCCTTGAACCCCAGTGGGCCTCGCAGATGGCCGCTCACACTGAGCCTGGTTCTGCTGGAGGTTTCTTCCTGTTAAAGGGAGTTTTTCCTCTCCACTGTCGCTACAAGCATGCTTAGTGAAAACTTTGAATCGGTTTGACTGTTTGATCCAGTGAACTGTAAAGTGCCTTGAGACGACAGATGTTGTGAATCGGCGCCATAGAAATAAACTAAACTGAATTAAATTGAGGAATAATTAGAACCAGGTTTAGCATTTGTTTACTGTTTCATCTGTAAAAATGTTCATCCTGGAAGCTACTTTAATACTCCTGCAGATATGGCATCACTTTAGGAGAAACTTTAGTGCAGATATTTTAAATTCATTTGAAAATAGAATAAAACTTAAATAACCTTTAATGTCCCACAGTGGGAACATCCAGCTAAAGGGCAAAGAAAGCTCACAGCTGCACACCACATGCTAACATAAAATAGTAAAAACTAATGATAAACTGGACAGTAAGGAAGAAACAAAAAAAAAAAAGAAAAAATCTTTAACAGACGAGAAATAAAAGAAAAACGTTTCTCCGTTTATTTAATTTAAATGTACTCTCATGCTCTATTTCTTTATTCATTTCGTTTTCAAAAGGTTATTTCTGTGCATATAAGGACAAAAGAATTACAAATACTTGTTTATAATTTTCTGGCTATTTTAATCGAAATTAGAAAGACTTGGAGTAGAAAAATAAAATAAGAACATTTTTGTGTATATTTTTTCATCTTTAAAAGCTAAAACATTATAAAGGGTTGAACAGAATAAATATCCTAAACGGGTTAAAATAATCACATTTTAGCGGTTAGAATCGGCCTTTAATAACGTGTAACTAATAATATTTCCTCCGTAAATCTGCTCACCTGACTTTCTCCTGGCTGTAACCGATCTTCGCCCAGTAAGCCCCGTTATCGAGAACCAGCGTGGCCATCCTGAAAACCACAACCGATCATTTACAAATCAATTCATCATTGTTTATCTCTATTTATCCCTGAATTCAGTAACTGCGATGCATTATAGGTCCAGGATGAAAATATGGTCCGTGTGGAAACACGTCTGTCCTTTGGTTCCGCCGCTTCAAACTTCTTCTTCTTACTGAGTTTTATTGGCGGTTGGCAAAAAACGTTAGGTGAGCATTACCGCCACCATCTGGTATGGAGTGTGGACCACATGGCAGAAAAAGAAAAATATATATATAATCTATAAAATATATAATCTGTTTCAGAAATTCAAATATAACACGATATCCTCTGCTTCCTGATTCCTTTTGCAATAAATCGACAATGTCAAGTTTAATTTCTGATCTCCATTTAAGTCTGTTATTAATGGCGAAGAAGCTCTGTCATCCAGGTTATAGTCATTAAAAAAAAACAAAAAAAAAAAAAACACTGGAAAAACAAACGAACCAAACCTGGAAAATAAAGTAAAATTTTTTTATTATTATTTTTTTTAACTTTGTTTGAATGTCTATTATGTTTATTTAGGGATGGAAAGATTGAAACTTCATCAAGCTTTTCTAAAAAAAAAAATTGAATTGTCTTACAAGTCCCTTCTCATCATCGATAAATTACAATTCAGTTAATGTACATACATAAACTGAATTGTAATTTAATGCTCAGTAATGAATAAATGAAATGGAATTGTAATTTAATACTAAATACCTTCAGTAATAACCTTCAGGATTACTTTAACAGAGTTCTCCTCCCCAAAAAGGCTTCAATTTATCAGATCATTGTCAGATCATGCAATTATAATTTTTCAATAATTTGTTCCACTTTCCTCTGTATCACTGAAAAATGCTGCAGAGGGAAACCAATTAATTCATTCAGCTTCACAGTTAGATGATTTTGGGGTGTTTTTTTTTTTGGGTTTGCTAGTTCTCAGCGTACTGCCTTAGAAAACAAAGCTCCTTTGCAAAAGAAAAAACTTAAATAGAAAACTGGCTCCCTAGGGAAAATGGCGCTCTACATGCCTACCTAGTGTGGAAAAACAGTGTTTTCCTGCTGTATAAGACGACCCATAAAGCAAGGGCAACCTATTTCTGCTTATTAATAGAGGAGAATAAGAGTAATCTAAGATTTCTTTTTAATCAACATCCAAATGGCATGGCAGACTCAGCAGATGGAAAATAATATTTAACCAATAAGCCTCGAGTCTGTTTCTAAATGGTGAACATTTGTTTTAAACAAGCTTGTTTTCATTAAGTGAGTGAAGTTACTGACAATGGATGGAGTGGCCAAACATTTTACTGAAGTAAGATGGTGATAGTTTTATCTTAAAAAGAAACACACTGTAAAACTACTCCTAAAAGTACATTTTTAAAGTAAATGTTACTAGTTACAACTCACCTGTTAGGAGCTGTCTACAGAACTTATATCTCTTAAGGTTGAAATTCTAAGAAAATAATCCTAATTTGATCAATTCTATGACTTTTCTTTAAAACGACATGACTGAGAGCTTCAGTGTGAGGATTCTTCATTTAGACCAACCCGAAAATTAAAAATGCAGAAATGAGATCAGCTTTCATACTGAGTCAGGTTAGTTGGAGCCTTTTATTAAACACTTTTTTGTTGTTGAACATTCCAGAAAACTTGTCAAATATAAAAAAAAGGCACTTATTTTACATCACCTCTTTTAAATAGCTTTTCTTTGTATATACAGAATATTTACATGTTTTTTGCTCTAACAGCGGAGGTGATGCTGAGCTGGTTAAACAGACAGACAGATAAAAGCAGAGACCAAATCTTAACTTAAACTTTATGCTCCAACCATCGGTTCTGACTATAAACTTTGAGTTAAATGGAACAAAATGAAAGAATCCTTTAGCTGCTTCCAATGGGTAACGGATGTCAAATAAACCAAAACACAGAGTAAAAGAGCCATTAAATCCATACAGGCCTTTGTTTATGTGAGGAAATGCATGGATTGTGGCTGCAGCTGATAAACAAACAACCTAAGAAAGACTCAAAATATTTTATCACATAATTTAAAACAGAAAAATGTCTTTAAAACTATAATTACAAACATCACACGTCGAAAAAAACGATGCAGTTCTGCTGGATGAGACTCGTTATAAAGTTTGCTTTAACAGCATAAAACTATACCTGCTATAATCTGTTATTAAAATAATTAAATGTGGTACAAATAATCTGCAGTTTTTGTTGTTACTTAACAGAATATTTTATGTTTCAATCAAAAACTTAACAGAATCACGGACTTAAACCAAAAACGGGAACATCCTCCTTGCACCAGAATCACTAAAACTCTGAAGGCGGATCCGGGTCTCTTGCTGTGTTGCCATGGTGAAGATATCAGTGGGAGGAGCTGCGATCATTAGCGATATCCTGCAGGCGGCGCAGCAGGCTGGTGTGGTTGTCGGGACAGACCCGTTTAGGCGATGCCTCTTCATCTAGGGGGATGCTGCGCTTCCTGGTGGGAGTCTCTCCGGTCCGGATCATGCTGTTGATTTCTTGGAGACGCTGCGGAGACGAAAACACGTTAATAATAAGCAGAAGGTAAAGGTTCAAGAGAGTGGCGGATCTGTGGGGGCTTACGTTGGGGGGGCTGGTGCAGATGTAGTAAGAAATGCGATCCCCCGTAGTCGGAGACGGGGAGGAGGGAGTCCTGTGAGGTGAGATGTATATGGAGTGTTTGCTGGAGAGCAGCATCCGCCGAGGAGAGCCTGTCCTCAAGGACGGGTACGGACACAGAGGGGGGGTCTCAGCCTGCGGAGAAAAGGAAATAATGGCTTTAAGCTTCACAGGTGAGACGCAGGTCCGGTCACAGGTTCAGGCTGTGGAACATCCCGGAACATTCAGCCGCATTCAGAGATGGAAAAACCAATGCTTTGAACATAGCTTTATTTTAAACTCTAACAGTTATTTTAAACTCTAACAGTTTATAATCTGCCATATTTAAAGCCCCTGTCACACCTTGCTGATTTAGACCAGCTTATGCCTGACGTACCAAAAATCTGGCAAAAACTCTGAAACACAGCGAGCACGTCCCGACGTATGCCAGCAGGTGCCATTCGTGGGGCATAAGTTACAGTTACGTTATCTGATCGCTAACATACGTTAAGTCTAAGTTACTGATAAGTCGTGGTGTCCAGCTTATCCAAAAGCTGGACACAATGAGTAACTTATGCGTAACTTATTAAGAAATTCTCTCCAACACATTTCGACGTATCTGACGTTCCAGATGACCGCTGTGCATGTTTCTAACGTACAGCTACCGTATAATGGCGTATTGGCAGTGTTTTGGTATAAAAGGGGGTTCACAGGAGGAAACCGTCTGTTCTCCTCCAGACTGCATCGCCATCGGAGGGCGAGCGAGAAGGTGAGTGTGATGGATCTTCCCTTCGTTCACGCCCACGACTACGACCAACAAACTTCCTAGCAGACATGACGCTGAATCTGCTGCGACTGCAAATCTTCTTTATTTCTTTTTTTATTACTTTTTTTTTTTTTTTTTGGCGGGAAGTAAACAGCAGCTAGGTTAATAGCGCGATCAAAGACATCTTTTTATGCAGACCGGTTGCTCCGGGGGCATCGCTGCCTTCCAAAGGACACTGGCTTGTCCATCATTTCATGGACATTAGGCTGAAATGTGTTATGCATAAGTTAGGCTGTCTTTGGACATGAGCTCTGGACTTATGAATAAGCTAGCTATTAGAGACTGACATTTTTTCGGGAATCCCACGGGTCACGGGATTCCCGTGGGATGGGAGTCAGTATTAGTAACGATCAC